CAAAAAGACTGACAGGGTCGTATTCTGTCCGCTTTCTGATCTCCAGCGCGAAGCATATGAGAATATACTGGCTAGCGATCTTGTTGACTTTGTCCGGAATGCTCATGAGCCTTGCCCGTGTGGATCAAGTAAGGCACAAGGCTGGTGCTGTTTCAAGGAAAATGAAGATGGAGATTCGTGGAGGTCACTAGTGTTTCCCATCATGATAACGTTGCAGAAGTTATCAAATCATTTCAACCTCCTTATGCCGCGCTCCTCAGATCTTCCAGACAAACACCAACGAGAGTTTAGATTCCTCCAAGCTGCTACGCCGCTCACTTGGCAAGAGCATTACAATGGGCGAGATTCGCTCCTTAGCCTAGCTAACCCCGAGTACTGTGGAAAGTGGAAGGTATTGAGAAGACTCCTGAAGTTTTGGCACACCAGTGGTGATAAAGTCTTGGTCTTCTCCCACAGCGTGCGACTCTTAAAGATCCTTCAGCTCTTGTTCAACAACACAAGCTATACTTATAGCTACCTTGATGGGTCTCTGGCCTACGAGGAGCGGCAACAAGTTGTCGACGACTTCAACTCGGACCCGAACCAGTTTGTGTTTCTGATCTCCACCAAGGCCGGTGGTGTCGGACTCAATATCACATCGGCGAACAAGGTCGTCATTATGGATCCCCATTGGAACCCATCGTATGACCTTCAAGCTCAAGACCGAGCCTATCGCATCGGCCAAGTTCGTGATGTTGAGGTTTATCGCCTTATTGCTGCAGGTACCATCGAGGAAACCACATACGCAAGACAGATTTACAAGCAGCAACAGGCAAATATTGGGTATAATGCTTCTAACGAGCGTCGCTATTTCAAGGGCGTGCAGCAAGATTCCGAACGAAAGGGTGAAATATTCGGGATGCAAAATCTACTGACTTATCACGGTGATCAAATTGTTCTGCGTGACATCGTTAACAAGACGAATATCGCCGAAGCCAAAGCGGGAGTTAAGCTGATAGACATCGATATGGACAAAGCGGCCGAAGAAGCTGATGACGATGGACTGTTCAAGAGAGAAGATAGTGTTGACGATGAGACAGGCGGTCTCAAGCAACTGTCAACTCTACTTACCAAAAGCGACAGTAAGGAAGGCCTGCTGAAACCCACCGGGGCGCGAAAGCCGAAAAACTTCGACCCAATCCAGGCGATTCTTGCTTCCGAAGGGGTTGAATACACGCACGACAACTCCGAAGTAGTTGGCTCGTCAAAGGTGGAAGACGAGCTATCACGTCAAGCCGAGATGGTCCTTAGCCAAGATGCCGACCCAGAAGCCCGAGCTCTCTTCTTTGCTAGCCTAGAAGCTTCCGCCGCTACCTCGGTCGAGTACGAGTACAACCCCCCCTTGGACGTTAGACGCCGCCAGTTCTGCACCATGGCAAAGACGTTTGGGTTCAGTAGTGTGACCGAGTTTGCACTGGCTGTGGAAAGTATGAGTCAGGAAGAGCAGAGGAATTGCCTCCAAACTTTCTACAAGAAACGTGGTGAGAAACTCAAGCACCTAGGGGAATCCGATTCAGACACCGATACCAAACTGGTGCATGTGAAGACGGAGGATACCACAGCGCATTCTGTGGCAGGTGTCAAGGGGGATACAGAGAATACAGACACTGAAGATTTCGAGACGGAAGACGTGAAACCTACCATCCCGGTTGTGGAGCAGGAGGTTGAAGTTACGCCATTGAGCGAGGGCACGTGCGTGAAGGAAAATCGCTCGACGAAGCTTTCGAGGGCCTCTATGACCATATTCCTTTCAGACGATGAAACGGACGAACTTTGAAGTTACATTTAGGTACGATACCCTGGTGTTAGTCATTTCAGGGCGTTTGGGTAATGGTGTTGGGGGATGGGTATCGACTCTGATGGGCAAACCACCCGACCGGATTCACACCTTGTCGGCTGTGTCTCCTGAAATTGAATAAAAATATTTGGTTAACAAACTTCCCTAACGGGAATATTACATGTTCTAGATGCGGAAAAGGCTTTACATGAGAACCGGTGAAACCATTGATGTGGTGTTCCACTATCGAGGCTTCTTGGTGACCAAATACTACTGAGTGTACTTGTAAGTTAGTACTTCCTTCTCTCTTCGGGTTCCTGCATGGTTAATTTTGCTATTCAATGTCGCTTCGCTCTCGTGCCACCTTTCCCATCTGTACTTTCTCAAGCTCGACATCCTCAATCTACTTAAAGTGTCTCCTTGAACTTCAATCTTAACTCTTTCCATCATCTCGAAGACCATCCACTTTAAACATTTCACCATATACTCACAGCTAAGCGAAAATGGCAAGTTTATTCACCAAGACTCTACTCCTCACCGCAGTCGGTGGCGCTGTCCTGCAACCCCGTCAAAAGATTGATGACGCATGCTGTTTCAATCTCGCGTCGATAGGAACGGCCGATAACATTGCCCACAAGGCCGTGGTTGAGAGCCACATAGGCAACCTGATCCTGGGCGGATCATTTCAGGAGGCCAGCTTGTGTCTAGATCGGGAGAACAAGACCATCAAGGACGGCCTAAAGCACAACTGCTTCTTCGACCGCTCCAGCCATGAATTCAACTGCTACCAGGGCGCCGTCGGTAACACGACTTTCGACACGATCGTCAACGAGGGAAAGACTTACCTCAGCTACGACGACGGCGCCGGGTCTTTCTATGCCTGCCCGGTCGGTGACGGTACCGACCAGTATTATCTCTACTCGGATAGCAAGGATGATGCTGACGGCTGCGAACTCGTCTCACTCGAGCTCTCGAAGTCGCTCGATACCTGTCTTCTCAGTAGCGAGCCTGAGATGAATACCAACGTAAAGAAACGTCATGATGGTAAGCCGAGCAAAGACAACGGGACCGCCACCATTCCGGTCGAATGCATCCCCAAGGCGCAGCCCCAGTACGCCCCCCTCCGAACGAGCATCCGCAACGAGCCCACGGACCAGCTCACGTACAACACGTGGGGAGCGCCCACGGCGCCAGCCTCGATCACGCCGACCAACGCGACGACGTTCTACTTCGAGCTGCCGAGCCGCCAGCGCACGCCCGCCTCCAAGCACTGCGCGCTGCAGTTCCGACTACCGCGGTGCGCGGACCTGCCCGAGGGCTACCCGTGCTACCGCCTCGGCGGCGTCGAGCGGGAGCTCGACCACGGCGCCGGCTTCACCGTCTCGCGCGTGGGCGCACTCGCGGGCTGGAACGACGGCGCCGTCCACCAGGTCCACCCCGGCAAGACCACGACGGTCGGCGTCTTCGAGTGCGGGCTCGCGGCCGGCCCGCAGGCCTGGTTCGCGCGCAGCGTCAACGGCTTCGAGCTCGAGTTCGCGCAGGCGGGCGTGGGGCCCGACGCCCGGTTTGAGGACGGCGTCGGCGCTTGGATCGTCGAGTGCATGGACTTGCCGTAGCCTTTTGATGTGGTGTATACTTATTGGTCTACCAATCTCGATAATATAATTTTCCTGGCGTGGAAAGAATTAGAAAAATTTAAAAAAAAAATTTTAAAAAAAAAATTTTAAAAAAAAAAAAGGGGGGGGGGGGGGGGGGGGTTAATACAAAATTTTTTAGGGGTTAGGGGCGCGCGGGTTTGTTTGTTGGGGGGGGGGGGGTTTGGGGTTTGGGGTGGTGCTGTTTTTT